GCAGAAACCACAGGAAATAATGAATGTGTTGTCAAATGTTTTACGAACATCTGAGCAGAAACTACAGGAAAGGATGAATGTTTTGTCAAATGTTTTAAAAACATCTGAGCAGAAGCCACAGGAAAGGATGAATGCGCCGTCAAATGTTTTACGAACCTGTTATTCTGATGATTGAACCAATGTTACGATCATATGGTTTCCATTTATTGATCAAGTCTATCTTCTTCCACTCCAAGATTAGAAGTAAGATATAATGAAGATTTCTTTCCATAGAAGGGAAGCAGAAAAATTAACAATAAGAAACTAGTGGCACCAACTAAGGTTGAACGACAGGTTGTTGTTAAACATCTCGACATGATATGGTCCAAGTTGCCGTATTCGAGATTGAATTAGATGTGGAGACATGAAAGGAATTAAGATAAATCCTCCTTGTGATATGTTTCAAGAGTCAAATCAGAACAGACTCTACTCCCCTAATTAATCCCTGCTGAGTTAGGCATATCTACATCTACACTCTTCAAAGATGATAGATTCTCTTTTTAAAGATGACAGATTCTCTTTTCAAAGATGAAAACTTTATGGGATTTCTACACAAGTCCAAACAAATAAAGTTGGTTTTATCCAAGACAAAATGGGGCATCAAGGTCATAGTTCTGACTACGACAAGAGTTCCACAAATGAAACAATTCTTCTGAGATTTTCATGAAGCAAAGAAGACAGCAAAGATATAACTTGATCAGATGATTCTGCATGAATGCAAGCTTGATAGCATAAGTTGCGATACTGATATCCAGAGGTAACCCTGGCAATAAATGATGAACTGAAGGAAGATCGAGTTCACCACTTTGAAGTCAAATGAAGATTGCATCAACATTCATGCATTCATAAGAATATCATTTACATAATAGACAATGCACTACATTGATACATCTGAGTGCATTCAAACATGAAGTTTTACAGATCTTCTGAAGAACAAGAAGATTCAGGGTAAAAAATACCTTACATGAAGAAGGTATTCAAAACCACAAATACAAGAACCATGCAAACATCTGAAGAAGAGATGGACACAATCCACAAAAATGAGCATTATCTTGAGATTGGGGCATGTTACCCAATCAACATGTTATTTTGAAAAAAAAATGAGAAAACGATTTCCATAGTTTCTCATTCAATCTTTTCTAAAAATGAAATTGATGAAAAGTAAGAAAACGATTTCCTTAGTTTTTTTACTTAGTAAACTATTTCCTACATCTGTAAGTCCTTCAGTGCATGATGTTTCCAAAAAAGCCTTCGGGAGCTTTTTGATGTTTTCAAAGCCTTCGGGTCATCTGTAAGTCCTTCAGTGCATGATGTTTCCAAAAAGCCTTCGGGAGCTTTTTGATGTTTTCAAAGCCTTCGGGTCATCTGTAAGTTATTCAGTGCATGATATTTCCAAAAAGCCTTCGGGAGCTTTTTGATGTTTTCAATACCGTCGGGTCATCTGTAAGCCCTTCAGTGCATGATGTTTCCAAAAAGCCTTCGGGAGCTTTTTGATGTTTTCAAAGCCTTCGGGTCATCTGTAAGTCCTTCAGTGCATGATGTTTCCAAAAAATCTTCGGGAGCTTTTTGATGTTTTCAAAGCCTTCGGGTCATCTGTAAGTCCTTCAGTGCATGATGTTTCCAAAAAGCCTTCGGGAGCTTTTTGATGTTTTCAAAACCTTCGGGTCATCTGTAAGCCCTTCAGTGCATGATATTTCCAAAAAGCCTTCGGGAGCTTTTTGATGTTTTCAAAACCTTCGGGTCAACTGTAAGCCCTTCAGTGCATGATGTTTCCAAAAAGCCTTCGGGAGCTTTTTGATGTTTTCAAAGCCTTCGGGTCATCTGTAAGTCCTTCAGTGCATGATGTTTCCAAAAAGCCTTCGGGAGCTTTTTGATGTTTTCAAAGCCTTCGGGTCATCTGTAAGTCCTTCAGTGCATGATGTTTCCAAAAAGCCTTCGGGAGCTTTTTGATGTTTTCAAAACCTTCGGGTCATCTGTAAGCCCTTCAGTGCATGATATTTCCAAAAAGCCTTCGGGTGCTTTTTGATGTTTTCAAAACCTTCGGGTCATCTGTAACCCTTCAGTGCATGATATTTCCAAAAAGCCTTCGGGAGCTTTTTGATGTTTTCAAAGCCTTCGGGTCATCTGTAAGCCCTTCAGTGCATGATGTTTCCAAAAAGCCTTCGGGAGCTTTTTGATGTTTTCAAAGCCTTCGGGTCATCTGTAAGTTCTTCAGTGCATGATGTTTCCAAAAAGCCTTCGGGAGCTTTTTGATGTTTTCAAAGCCTTCGGGTCATCTGTAAGTCCTTCAGTGCATGATGTTTCCAAAAAAGCCTTCGGGAGCTTTTTGATGTTTTCAAAGCCTTCGGGTCATCTGTAAGTCCTTCAGTGCATGATGTTTTTAAGACCTCTAGAATGATGTTTTCAACATTTCAGTCTTACTAAAAAAAAATTATTGTTTTTCCGTCTTTGCTCTATTCTTGTTAACACAAGAATAAGCAAAGAGGGGCAGTTGTAAACACTAATTTTTTTATTTTTGTTATTATTATTATTATTATTTTTATTATTATTAAATATTATTATTATATTATTTACAAACAGTTACAAACCAAACTGGACCGGCCCAGTTACAAACAAAACAGAACCGACCCATACTAACTAGAAACCCTAAACATTTGGGGTTTCAGCTAGGGTTTCTAAACCCTAGCCCCCAGCCGCCTCCAAGATTCCAGAAGGCCACATGGCCGCCGTTTATCTGCCAACCGACACCTTCAATGCCAGGTGACCCAACCAGCAGCCGATGACGCCTTGCTGCCACGACACCACCATCGTCGAAGTCTCCAGAAGGCCAGATGGCCACCCACTTTGCTGCTCTAGGGGTGAGTCACCACATAGTTCGGTGACTCACCAAACTTCCCCCTCTAGACCGGTCCGAGCATGGCTCGGTGGTGGCTATAAAAGCCACCGGATCCTGCAAAAGAAGAGAGGACAGAAACGAAGAGAGGGAAAGCAAAGCAGTAACCACACACAACCACAAAAACAGAAGGGAAAACACAGACAGAAACGAAAAGAGAGCACAGCAAATATGAACGAGACACCACAAGAAGAAAAACTACCAACGATCTCAGTCAACGACGAACCAGTATAAAAAAAAAGAAGGAAAATAGAAGAGAAGAGAAGAGAGAGCTTACTTTGTCATCGGAGGCACTCGAAACATCACCGGAAACCTTCGGATTTCGAAGGTAAAATCCTAGATCTAGGAATTTCTAAGGATTTTTAGGACAAATAGAGGTCGTATTCGACCTTAGGATGTAGAGATCTACGGTTTGGGCTAATTTTCCTAACTCCGGCCACCGTGAACGGTGGCCGGTAGTGGTAGCCGATGGTAGAGTAAGGCTGCCAGTCGCTGGTCAGCCAGCCTCCGGCGGGAAGAAGGAAGAGAGAGGCGAGAGTGTTTTTCTTCTCTCTCAGATAGAGAGAGAAGAGGAAAGAAGCGAATGAAGATGCTGGCCCGTAGGGCCAGCCGTTTTGGGTTTATAACCCCTCCCCCATACAACGTCGTTTAGGGGGAGGGGTGTGCGTGTAATTTCTATCAGGGGTAAACCCTGTTTGCAGTCATTATAGTTTGTGATCATTACAATTTAGTCACTGAAATTAATTTCTGATTATTTTAATTTAGTCTTTTAATTTAATTTTATTTTAATTTAGTCCTTATCAGCATATATATATTTAAGGTAAATATAAAATTTAGTCCCTCATAGTTTAGTAATTTTTATTTTAATCTCGTATTATGAATTATGGTTAAATCACACTGTTAGCACTCATGTTTTATAATATTTCGAATTAGGACTTTAGTTTTATAATTTTACATTTTAATCATTAATTTCATTAGTTTTTATTTTTTTACTATGATTTTTAATATTTTACATTTTAATACTATATTTTTATTTCCTTTTATTTTAATCATTATTTGCAATATTATTTTATTATTATTATTTTTTATTGTTTTAATTATTATTTCATTGTTATTATTTTATTATTTATAAAAATAAATATATATATATATATAATAAATAATATATATTTTTTATTTAAAACCTATATTTCATAAATTACTTTTAATAATTATGTTTTAATATATATTTATTTATTTTTCAATATTAAGAAATGACAGTATTAAAATAACTGGATGTCCATTTTCTGATATTTTTAAATAAATAAATAACCTATTGTTTTAAAATTATATATTAATTGTTTATTTATTTTTTAATACCGAAGAAAAGAGCTGTCTTAAGGCACCTATAAGTCATTTTCTGATATTTCTAAATAAATAAATATTTTATTTATATTTTATATATAAATATATTTTTTTATATAATTATAACTTTGAAATAATAGGATTATAAATTAAATATATTTTTGAATTTTTAAATTTCAAATAATAAGAGACAATTTATAATTAATAAGTACCAATTTTGGGCGTTGTGGGGTGCTAATCCTTCCCCAAACGTAATCGACCACGAACCCCTTTTTATTATTAAAAAAATGAATCTTTGGTTAAAAAGCAGATCAGTTTATCTTTTAACTGATGTTTTCTTAAAAACTCTTTTAAAAGATAATTTTTAGGTATTCGACCTATCTGACCCAAAAGGCCGATGGCGACTCTCAAAATATTTTAAAAATCATTTATTCACATCACTTTTCCCGCCGAGTAAAAATTTCGTGCCCGGACGAAAACCGGTTACGACATCATCTACATGACAAATAGATTCTTTTCGAATAGAAAACAAAAAGAATGGGAACCCACTAAGTCTGCTGCTCAAGAACAAATGTTAGATAAAGATGCTAATGATATTGACCAAAGATTTACGAGGAATTTGTTCCCTTTTTGATTGCAATCAAAAGGCACCACAACCATGCTTATTGCACTCACCAGAAGGAATCCAATTCACCATGCTTGTATATATAGTTTGCTCCAGTGAAGCAATTAATCATCAAGCACTTAAAGATTAAGAGAGGGTGAGAATGGGGTTGAATGGGGGTGGCAACTCAATGGGACAGGGACACTACCCTAATTGGGGATGCAAGAAGGAGAGCAAATACAAAGGAGTCAAGAATGGCTATGCAATGGGTTACAGTGGAAGTGAATGTTCCCAAATCCACAATCCCACCACCTACGGTATGAGCAAACCCCAGAATGTTTATGGAATGGCTGAAACCTGGGATGAGTTTGGTCAATCTTACGGTAACTACAAGTCCCAAAATGGACCTTCAATGTCCAAAACTCAACTTGATCATGTTCCTGGGAATGGATATGGCAAGATGCAATCGTATGGCTATGGCAATAATAATAGCCACGGGAAGCATGAAGGTCGTGTTTATGGCTATGGGATGGGCCATGGTTTCGCTAATCACGGACACTATGAAAGCTATGAAGAGACGGACGGCTATGAGGAGTACGCGATGAATGGGATAGTCCGTAGCCAGCCGCACCGTCTCGGCAATCACTCCGGGCATGGAAATGGGTTCATGACGCCTCAATCATACGGCCCTGCTAAAATCATGGGGTTTGAATGTACTGAACCCGAGTACAGCGAAACACGCTTTTCCAACGACTCACAGTATTACGGCGGAGGCCGTGTATACCATGGTGGCAACGGCCACTCGGCTAAGGGTCTGATGAAAAACAATTCGGGTGAAAGCAGCCGCAGTGACTCTGAGAGCGACGACGAAGACAATCATCATGGTGGGTTTAACAAGGTAAAGTCTCGATGGCGCCGTGAAATCTGAAGTTTCTTTGTATATACTTCATACAAAATTTTATGTTATTAGTGGATGTATGTCCACTCTCGAAAGAATTTCTGAACCCGTCGTTGGTTGAATTCATATATTCACCTTCGTTGTTCTTCATCTGATTTCACTTTTTTTTTTATTTTGTTTCTTCGGGATATAAAACTAAAGGTTTATTATTTACAGGTCTGGAAAAGCAAAGCAATATGATGAGTTCTATGTATGCATAAACATGGTAGATATGTTGGCATGATGATAAGCCTGCCAGACTATATAAAATTAAATAAACTTGCGATGTAAGGAGCTGGAGAATGTATCTTCTTCCTTCTTGTTATTTGTGTTTAATGTCATACGGTGTTACGAATTAATGATAAAACTTCTGACCTTGAATGCGACCTGTTAATTTTCCAGTATTATTATGATTCAGAATTGTGATAATTCATATATTTTTCTAAATTTTTTAATTGTTATTTTAGAATAAATTAATTAAACTTTTCCTTAGTTAAAAAACACTTTTGAAATCCGAACCATTATAAGACTTAAAAATTAGTTTTTTAAAATGATATAAAATGATTACATAACAATATTTACTTTAAATTTCTTTTATTCTGCTAATAAGAACCTCTACCTTTATTTGTGTATCTATTTATGTCTCAATTTAAAATTATGAAATGAAATGATGGACCTCACCCGTCCCTCAAAATCTAATATATATTAGATTTTCTCGAGTAAATTACATAGTTGATCACTTTCATTTGAGTTTTATAAATTTTTCCTCATTAAATTCAAAAAACATAATATTTGATCATTTTGGTTTCATTTTAATTAACATATGGTTATTGAAGGTTAACGACCGTCAAACCTTTAACGTTTTGATATCGTGCCATGATTAATATATAAAATTAAAATTACATCAATTTCACGTAGATAATACGTGGATTAAGTTTTGGTCATGTTCCTTTCATATTTGTACATTTTTTCTCACCAAATTAAAAAAAACATAAGTTTTGGTAACTTACGTTATCATTTTATTAAGTTTTCATCAGTTACTTTATTGTTTTATTAAGTTTTGATCACTTGGACATTGAATGTCGTTAGTTTGATGACGTGACCGTTAGTATTTTATATTTTAACTCCTACACTTTAGACAAAATATTGATTATGAGACTTTTGTAAATTCAAATTAGTTTATGGATAATATTTCAATTTTTCCATTTTTAATAGATTTTATTCCCAACCTTATTGTTGTTCATATTCTCCATGGTTTTTCTTCATATATCTTTGCTTCATTCCTCCATTTGCCTTCTTTCAAGGAATCGTGTTGCATTTCAGGAATAATGTGAGATTTCCAACTTCCGATAACAAATAATAATACCACAAGTTGAAAGAAAATGAGAGGGTAGGTATCTGGAGATAAAATGAAACTGGGTAGCCTTAGTTATGCAAACTAAAATTCAATTTCCAAAGATTGAGATTGTAGAATGCCAAATCCAACAAGGAACTAGAAGACAAATTAGTGGATCTAAATAACCCAATAACCGGATATCACTCTCCGTAGTGATTTTTTCTTGAGAAAGTGCCTCTAGTGAAACATAATAAATGGATCCAAACAACATGATAACTAGATCAGTGAATGCATCCACTAAATTCAATCTAAAATCTATGATCTTAATGCCGAATATTTGTTTTTGCTCAAGAACAAGCAAATTTTTTATTCTAGATCCCTATTAACAATGTTCTTCTTATAATCACCGTTAACCCATGTGGCATGTGCGATCTATCGCACCACTACCACCTCGTCAACCTTTGAGTACTACATTTCCGTGACAAACCGATCAAACAACTCACCACCGGAGCAAATCTATAGTACTAAGTGAACAACGATTTGATCTTCATAAACGTCATGGAGGTTAATCACGCTCGGATGTGACAAAAAATTCTTGACGATCTTTTGCATCAAGGGAATTTCGTTGATCGACAATGCGTCGAATATGAAAACCTGGTATTGTGTCCTTAATAACACCTCCGTTGAAGAAGCTCTAGTTTTCTTGGCTCGAGGTGGTGGAGTGGTGGTGGTGGTGGATCTTTTCAGAGTTTTAATGGAGAATTTTCTACATTTTCACGATCTTCATTACTTCTTTTTATACCTTTTCTTACAATTGAGAACCCACCTAATTTCACTTCAAATAATTACAACTAATAATTAGAAACAAAAAGGTTATTGTAATTAAGTAGATATGTCTGAAGAAGAAGAAGGGAGAAAATGAACAATATTAAGGGTTGGGGGAAAATATTAAAACAATGGGTAAATTGAAATGTTATCCCTAAACTGATTTGAAATAATTATAAAAAGTCCTATAATATGTATTTTATCTAAAGTTTAGGTGTTAAATAAAAATCAAACCATTTAACTAATGAGTCACATCATCAAACTATCGGCTTTCAACGTCCAAGTGACTAAAACTTAATAAAACGATAATATAAGTGACCGAGACTTAATATAACAATAAAGTAAGTGACCAAAACTTATTTTTTTTGAATTTGGTTAGCAAAAGTGTACAGATATGAAAGGAAATTGACCAAAACTTAGTCCACTTATTATATATATATATGTGGAAATGTTGTAATCTTATGTTTATATATTTTATCGTATCACATCACCAAACCATTAAAGTTTTAACTGTCGTTAATCTTCAGTGACCACATCTTAATTAAAACGAAACGAAAGTGAGCAAATATTGTGTTTTTAGAATTCTATGAGAAAATTTATAAAATTCAAACGAAAGTGACTAATTTTGTAATTTATCCAATTTTATATTTTTTTATTAAAAATATATTTTCACTCCTCTGAAATTTTGTAAATTCAAGTTCGTTACCTTAAATTCAAATTCTTAGCTTAACATAAAATCTTGGGCCGTCTCTGATGACACGTGTTATTCTCAAGAAATTATTTTGCACTTTGTTTTAATGTTAAAAGGCTTGTTAATTTTTTTCTCGTTTAGCGACGACTTACGTTTTAAAATTAATTCTAAATTTTAATTATATAAAGATTAAGAATCAATGATAATAAAATAAAATCTAAAAGTCAAATTAATTGGCCGTGGTAGTAATATATATATAATATATATATATATTGTATTTCTATTTAATATAAAACAAAATATAATTATTTTATCATTATTTGTTTCAATATATATTTTAAAATTTAATTATATAAAAATTAAAAATAATAAAAAAATATTTTGAATTCAATATTTTTATCAAATTTAAATAAATTAGCAATATTTATTTCTTTCTATTTTTGTGATTTTTTCGTCTTCTTCTTTTATAAGATATTCGTGATGAGAATGAATTTGAATAAACTTAAATTTATTTATTTCTATTTTTCTTCGTCTTCTTTGCTTCAACAGTGTCACCGTTTACTCTTCTTCGAATGCATAGAAGGAAAGGCCAGGCACCAGTTTCACTTTATTTTCTTTTTGGATCTGTCTAGTCCATTACTTTAATACTTTACTTATTTTTGCTTTTAAATTTTCTCATACATGATGTTAGGGGACACTCGTTGGACGTTTTGTTTATTTATAATAAAAGTCGACATTTCATTTCAAAAAATTTAAATTAAGATTTTTAATATTAATTAAAAAAATATAAAATAAAAATAAAAAATCTTTTGTTTTTGCGAGTTAGTTGAATAAAGGTTTTAAATTTTAATGATGAAATTATATTAACTTAGTAGGTTAATCTCAAAGTTTTTTTCTTTCCTACAATTCTCCTTAGCATTTTATTTACATCTCTCCTATTACAACATATTAGAGAATAAAATCTTACATATTACTCTTCCTGATTGTAATGATAAAATAGATTTATTTTATTTTATTTTGGGTAGATACATAATTACACAAATTTCCTTAACAAATGCTAAGGGGCTGTAACAGACACAAAGCAGGGTAGACTTCTGCATTAACAGCAACAAACCACAAAACTGCACAAAAGTACTGTATTGGACGCCTTCAGTTTAGATACGAATTTTCGTCCGGGATTTTTGATTGAGCTTTACTTATATAAATACATATATGGGTTAAAATAATATTCTAACTTTTATGTTACATTTTTTAGGTCCAACATAAGGTCCACATTTTACAAAGCTGAAGCAAATGGCCCAACTGAAGCAGGCCCAATCGGTTACGAGCTCGCGTACTGAAACCCAATGGAGCTAGGGTTTCGGAAGAGAGCCCCAACGTCGCCAATGAAGGACAACTGTCTGATCCATTGGCGCGTATGATACACACTCGCATTCCCGAACACTTCACGCACCCGTGGGTCTTATTCGTGCAGCTGTCGTCGTTCGTACCTGATGCAACAGTCTGAATACCCCTGCTAGGAGCAGTTTGTCGAGGAGAAAAAATCCCTCGATAATGGCAGAGCCTCCTCAACGCATGCAAACAAAAACACATCAGAAAAAATAAAAAAAAATAGGGGACTATTTTCATCGAGCAACAAATATATTTCAAGACAAAAAAAAAGGGAGAGGACACAACGTATTAGCAAACGAAGTGCATAACAACAAAATAAATAAAAAACTTATTTTTTCATTAGTGATAACAACACAATATCAACCAAAAACCAGAAAAAGGAAATCTCTTTCCATGATCAGCGAACATAATCGAAAGAAAAGGGGAGGGAGAGTCTTTTATGAGAGAGAGAGCAACCAAATACCCAAGGAGAAAAAAAATCCACAAAAACTCCATATGCATATTTTGGGTTAATTGCTATAGGGGCTTTGCCTCTTTGGAATCAATACATTATAGTTCTCATTTCAAGGTTTATAAATTTGTGAATCTAGCCACCTTAATTTTGGTCGCATTTTATTTTAGTCATTAGTGCCATTTTACTTTGTTTTCATTTCTTATATATTTAAAGTCTTTTATAATAATGTTTATTTTAGTCCTATAAGATAATGGTTATACTTCGATTTTAGCACCTGTTCTCTTATGATATTTGTATTATGATCCTTGCCTTTTATCGTGGTTATGATTATGTTCCTAAAGTTACTCCTTTTATGCGCATAGATGGTATTCTATATATATGACAGATATATTTTGGCATGACGTGGTGCTTAAAGTATTGTATTATATTCTATAATTGTGACTCATTCCTTTCTTTGCAATTTATATTTACTTAATAAATTTATTAAAAAGCTTTGCATCTACATATATAGCCACAGCTTAGGTATTTATTTAATTGTTTTAAATATATCTATAATACCATGTATGTTATCGTGTTTTTTTGTACACATCAGCACTGCCTTTTTGTAAAAAAATAATATGTATGGTGCACTCATAATTTGTAATTTGACTCAATCGAATAATCGACTAAGGGTAGTATCCTTTTATTTTAGGGTTG